CTCGGCTGGGCGGCCGCGTACCTGGACCCGCTCGGTGGCTGTGGGCCACAGCTGCCGGCACAGCACCTTCTTGAGCACGTCGGGGAGGAGGCTCACGGTCACCAGCAGCACGATGGCCAGCCAGGCCGGCCCGCTGGACAGCATCTGGATGAACACGTAGTACATCCTCTGGTAGTTGAGGAACGGCCTGCGGGGCGGGGAGAAGCCGCGCGTGAGGTGAGATCACGACAGGCCGCAGGCAGCCCGGGCCCGCTCCTCACACCGTTCTGGGTCTTCCGCTTTCTGTCACCGGTGGCTCCTGGGCGAGCCAAGCAGCCGGCTCGGAATACATCCTAAGCACAACGGCGCTCGTGCCTGAAATCCCACTCTGTGGGGAGGCCGAGGCGGAGCTGGAGGCGCGGGGAGCCATGATCGCACCACTGCACTCCAGCCTGGGCGACAGAGCGAGACCCTGTCTCCTAAAAGGCACTGTGGGGGGAGACATCCCCTGATGTCATCTCAGAGGGAAAAGAGAAGTCCCTGGAGTTCGGTTTCTCGTGACTTAAACCGGGGCGTTTTCTGTCTGGGTGTCTCATCGGATCCGTGGTTGCTGACACAGAGAAGATGCAGAGTTCCGGCTGGTGGAGCCAGACGACCATCTACGGTCGCGCCACCCAGCGTGGGCAGAAACGCGCCCCCTGCAGGGGCAGAGGCAGTCCAGAAGACGGCCGAGGTCTCTGGGGACGTGCACGGGGCAGAAGCTGTGACACACCGGCCCCATCACAAGCTCCATTGCGCACACGCCTCCAGCCGTGCTCACGCGCCCAGCCCTGGGGGCGTACAGAGACAGCCTCACTTCAGGGAGACACGCAAGGCTGGGGTGGGGCCGATGGAGGGGGCTGGAGCCCCGACCGTGAGCAGCCCAGAGGCCGGCTGCACTGGGAAGGCCTGGGCGGGACGCAGGGTCTCGCCGCCACCCGGTGGTGACAGGGTGACCTCCTGGGCCTCCGTGCCAGAGTCTGGGAAAAGGGTGCCTCCTCACCGAGATGTGGCCACGGCTGCGTGACCCCGGAACACCCTGTCTCCAGGCCGGGGACCGTGGGACACGCCCATGGCCACCAGGGGGCGCCTGCCGAAAGGGAGACCGCGGAGGACAGACCAGCCTCACCCCTACGCCCCCAGGGCGCCCGCCCCAGCCTCAGGACTCTGGCTCTTACCAGATGATTCCGCCCCAGAGCAGGGAGAAGGCCACGTAAAACAGCAGCGACCCCCAGATGACAAAGTGGTTGATCCACGTCCAGTAGTGCGTGTCCAACGCCAGCTGTAAGGGAAGAGGCTGTGGATGCTGTTCCCGGGCGCGAACACGCGGGGCAGGCCAGGCAGAAGCGCGGGTGACGAGAGCCGGGCCAGACCTGGCACGGAACCCCACGGCAACGGGGCCCACACGGCGCGTCTCGAGACAGGGATGGAGAACTGGACCGCCGGCCGCGGCCCCGCCCCATCCCGCAAGCCTCGCCAGGGGCCGGGGAACGGGGCCGTGGGGGCTGGACCTGAGGGGCACATCACCCCAAGGAGGCGCCTGCAGGGACCTCTCCATGTGGCTTCTAAAGACTCGGGTCCAGTGGGTTTTGGGGCTTCCCTGACAATATCCTATATGGAATCCGATGCGACTTTCCAGAGTGGATCTTCCAAAATAATTAGTTTCAATTAAAATGTGTATGTGTGTGTGCGTGTGTGTGTGCGTGTGTGTGTGTGTGTATGTGTGTGTGTGTCTGTGTGTGTGTGTTTAGGCCAGGTGTGTGGGTTCGTGCCTGGCCTCCCAGCACTTTGGGAGGCCAAGGTGAGAGGACTGAGTCCAGGGCAACATAGACCTCACCTCTACAAAAAATCAAGAAATTAGCCGGGCGTGGTGGCGCACACCTGTAGTCCCAGCTACTTGAAAGGCTGAGGCAGAAGTATCTCCTGAGCCCAGCAGGTCGTGGCCACAATAGCCATGAGTGACACTGCATTCCAGCCTAGGCGACAGAGTGACACTCCAACTCAAAAATAAAATATGTACATAAATTAAATAAAATGTCTTTTATTCCACTGGGGATAGGACTACTGGCCGTTGAGAATTCTTGTATAAAGAAGAGACCTCCGCCTCAGTTTACCACCTGTCTAACCCTTCCACTCGAACATGGAAGGCTGGGGTGTGCCGGCTGCCACAAGTTACTTGTTTAGTCAGCAGAGAGGGGACCCCGAGAGCGCCACAAGGCTGGACTGGGCGTGGGTAGCGTCTCCCTCAAGACGGATTTTAGGGAAACCGCACAGAGCGGGGCCGTGGCTGGTTAGGATGCAGGGGCTGGCGCTTACCTTGAGGGTGACCGTAAACACCATCACAGTGAACACCAGCGTCCCGAACGTCCAGTTCCCAAATACCTATCAGGGAACGTGCGAGGAAGCTCCATAAAAATGTGTTTCTTGTCTCTCGCAGTGAAACAAGTTTCAGAAAACATACCCGACTTCTCTCGCATGCCAACACTTCACACCCCAAAGATACAGAAGCTGTGTTTTCCTAGGATTACGGGAGAGAAGACGGGAACCCCCGAGTCGGCAGGGCCCCAGCCCCGCCAGCATCTCCCACCGCCCACCCGCAGCCCGGTGTCCACCCGAGCCCAGGCCTTGCGCCTCCGCCCGCCGACGCTGGCCCTGGCCCTGCCTCAGCCGCAGGCATCGTCCAGCGCCCAGCTGTGCACAGACGTCCTCGCAGCCGATGGGCCCCCGTACCCCAAGTTCGGGTGTGTGGGAACCTCCTGTTTCCCTTCTGTGCGGAGGAAACACATGCCCAATGGCCCAGCGACACGTCTGCACTCAGGAGTGCACTCAGTGTGTGTCTGCTCTCTGTTGAATGCACCTTGAACCCTGCCTGCCGCTGAAGGAGACAGTGGCAAGAACGTTCTGGGAGTCACAGCCAGGGAGGACACGGGTGGGGAGAATGAGGCTGGGACTTGCCTCGGGAAAACCTCAGGATGGGGACGACGTGACGACAGACAGACAACAGGACACAGGCCACCCACGGCCGGCACCGCAGACGTGCCCCTGCCCGGGGGGAGAGGCCGCGACACGAGGGACGCCCGGCGGAGTCCCGCGCTCCCGCCCCGCGGGGACCGTGGTTCACGGAAAGACAGACACAGTCAAGCCCACAAACACAGTCTCCTCACGCAGACAAGGACACAGCAGTAGGAGCCGCCGCGGAGGCCTCCGAGTTGCTGAAGACTGTTCAGCAAGGACCGTCTCCCCGAGGGGATCTCTGCACCGAGCGGGTGTCGCCTGGGCCTGGGTGCCGGAGTCTGACCGGTGCCTCTCTGGGTATGTGACTAAGACCTCTCAAAAATACAAAGTTCTGTTTTACGAAGAATTGAAGAGCTGGAATACAAGCAGCTTTTCTCACGATCAGTTTTCAACCACAACACCTACACCAACAACCACGCCCGTAATTCCACTGGGTACAAGGCCTCTGGTGTGTCGAGTGGGGACGATGCTACTTGCGCCTTCTACGGTCACCACGGGTTCCCAGGAAAGCCCCACCTGCTCTCTCTTGTTTTACACCTGAGTGCAGCATCACGATCAAAACTGGCCCTCAGCCCCTTCTGAAGACGTCAGGCCAACAGAGCCTCTCGGACCCTTGCACACAGGAGGTTCTCAGTCAGGGCCGACAACCCTGGGAGACACTGTCAGCAGCGGCCAGGAGAGGCGGGGGGCTGTGGGTGCCTGGGACTGTGGTCCCCCATGTCAGCAGAGCTGAGGACACTCAGCAGAAAGTGCTCTCTCTTCCAAGCCGAACTTTGGGACGGATACCACTGGCCCAGCAGAACTGGCCGCAGTTTTTGGCCACCCCAGTGTGGACGCCAAGCGGCCGCTTTCTCTTCACTGGGTGCAAGTATGTCCGTCCAAACGGTGAGCCCGCAGACAGCGGGAGCAGCTTTGCACCGGACGGGCATGTCGACAGGACCCGGTGGGAAGATCCCCACCTGTTCGTCCTCTTCCTCGTCCCAGGTTCTTCCTAGGCCATCCCAACACAGAACTCTTATGAAACCTGGATGCTAGCGGTCTGTGGACATCAAGGACTGCGGGAGAGGGACATGGCGGTCCCAGCAGCACTTCAGGCCTGGGGGCGCCCTTCTGTTCCTGCGCTGGCTTCCTGCTTCCTGTGCTCGGCTGTGAGGCAAGATGCCCCCTCCGTGGGGCCCTGCTGGGCGCCTGGGGTCTGCTGGATGACAGCAGAGCTGGAACAACACGTCAGGCCGCCGGACGCCCGGGGGAACACGGGCCACCGCTGTAAGTCTCACAGGGAAACGGCCACAGGGCCCAGCTCGCAGAACTTGGGATGCTGTGAGGCCCTGGGAGACGCTCCCCCCGATGCCCTGTGGTCCCCGGAAGCTAGCTTGTGAGGGCCAGTCCCCTCAATCTCCCTGTCGCTCGAGTGGGTGCCCCCGTGAATGGCCAGGAGTCAGTTTACGATTCCTATCGCTGGCCAGTGTTCCCATTGGGGGCTGGGGGAGGAGGAGCCCCTCTCCCAAAGCCTTGTCCTTAATCCAAGCGACAGCAGCCCCCACGCCCCCCAGAGGAAGCCGTTTCTGGTCTCCTCAGGACCCGGCTCTGACAGGGCCGCACGTCTCCACGGAGGGCCTGACGGCGCGAGAGCCTTGTTCTGCTGCCCGGACGTCTCAGCAGGCCCATCTCTGGGCCCGCCACCCTCTACCAGGGGCCAGCCTGACCCCCAAGACTCCCGTCTCTGGGTCCACCACCCTCCCCGGGGGCCAGCCCGAGCCTCCCCCTCCTCTTTCCCTCCTCCCTTGGAGAATGACTATGCTGCTTGGCTGTTTTCCGCTCAAACCCAGACCAGTTTAACTTGTGTGTGTGCGAACAACCCGCAACACACCTAGCGTGCATTTTCTCAAGGGCATGATCAGGAACGGCACCGACGACACCCCCTTCCCGTGGGATCCTGTCCTCCTCCATGTCTGCGGTGTGACCTTCTCGGCCACGCCATGGATGACCCGTGTTCCGGCTCTTCTCTGGCTGTCTCCCGCCTTCCGTCTCAGCACGCTCCACACTTTGGGTGTCGACGGGGATGCCCTAGTGCTCGACAGGCAACTGTCGTCGTCACACTCTCACTTGCGGCATCAGAATGAGAAAGTCAGGGTACAGGATGTCTGGGCAGAAAACGCTCCAGCAGGAAATCTTTCTTTCCTCCTTTTGAAATTGTTTTAAAAATTACTATTATGAGAGATGAGGTCTCACTATGTTGCCCAGGCTGGTCTCAAACTCCTGGGCTCCGGCGATCCTCCCGCCTCGCCCTCCCAAAGTGCTGGCAGGCAGGAACCACGGCACCGGGCCCCAGTTGTTCTTTTAAAAAAGGCATCAGTCATTCCATCATTCCTCCAATACTGTGCGTGACCCATAAACATTCCTACAAACGATCCAGGCTTTTTTTTAAGGCTCCCTCACCTACTGACGATGGATAGGAAAGGGCGTGTAGACGGAGTCCCTGAGACGTGTGCTGGCTGGAAAGACATTCCCAGAAAAGGGGACGTCACACTCATTAAACTGCCGTCAAGAGCCGAGAGGGTCCTCGCCGCCCACGACTGCCTGAGACCCTGGTTCTGCGGGTCTGTCTGGATTCCTGCAGACACGGTCCACAACACAGTTTCAGTTGATTCGTGTGAGAAGCACCTGATCCCCCAAACAACAGTGGAAGAAGTCCGGCCTCCGGATGGGAAGAGCTCTGGGCACGGGGCCGTCGGTGGGAAGCCACACGCCTCCCCTGGTCTGGCGCTGGGACCACAGGGGGCTCAGCCACGCAGACCTCCTCAGGCTCCTTTCTCACCAGGGACATGGGTGGAGCTGTCCCTGTGACCAGGCCTCTGTGTCCACGATGTGGTCAATTCATGGCTCCAGGCCTTCAACGTCCATCTCGCGTCTGGAGCTTGGTGAACGAGAGCACATTTCGCCTCTGAAACCATGACTGCGACCGAGACTTTGTGAGCTGGCCCCAGGGTCCTGTCACCACCACACACCCGTCTCGGCTGACGAGGGCACGGCGGTGAGGGTGCCACGGCCCCGGCCACACGGTGGGGGTCGAACGAGTATCTTGGTTTGTGTGGAGTTCGAGGTGTGTCCTGCCGTGGCTGCTCTCCTGGCGCCAGGTCAGATTCGAGCGGGCTGGCCGCAGGCACACGAAGGCAGGTGAGGATGCCGAGCACCCTGAAAAGCACCACCCTGGGGTCATGCAG